GGCTGGGCCCGGTGGCGCGGTGCGGTGAAACTGCAGAGCGGTCAGCACGATGCAGTGCAAGGTCCGGCCCCGCTGGCCGGCACCGAGCGGCGCAACTCAAATCCGAAGCCAAGAGCACCCTGCAAGCCGAGAGCCGCGGGTAGTGCTGCGCCCCGGCCGCCGTCCAACAGCAAGGCCAGACCGGGGGCCCGGTGCAACGTGCAGCCAGGTCGAGCGGCGCAAATCAACGCGAGGGTAGCGCGGGAGGCCCGGCCCGGCCGACTCACCGGTGTCCTGGCGGAACTGGTGCATGGACTGCAGGTCGATGATGTAGGGCGCCAGGCGGCTGTCGGCCTGGCCCAGCACCACGCTGCCGCCTGCCCGCGGCCCGGCGCGGGCCACAGCCTCGATGTGGTGGCTGACGGCCGGGCTGTAGGGCCGCCACCGCCCGTGCTCGTTCAGCCATTCCCACACCACCACGGCCGAGGCCAGCAGCATGGCTCCGCCACCGCGGCCGCTGCAGCCCGGCTCGCCGGCTCTCGCATGCTCGGCGCGGCGCAGGACGCTGCCCGCCCCCACCCCGGGGCCGGCTCCTGCGGGCGCGGAACACGGGGGCCGCCCCTCGGCGCTGCAGCGGGGGGCGGAGTCAGCCCTGACGTAACCACGCCCGGCCCGGCCCGGCCCGGCGGCGCCGAGCACCCGCCGGAGTGGGAGAGCGGGGCCGGGAGGAACCATTCCCGCGGCGGGAGGGCGGAGCTGGGCGCGGCTCGGCTCCACGCACCCCGCGGACCCGGGAGCCCCTCTCTCGCGTGCCGCACTTCCCGTGTCCCGGTGCCCCGACTCTGCAGTCCCCGGGCCCCCGGCGTCGCCCGGGCCGGGGGTCCCGGTGCGCACCCGCCGCTGTGCGACAGCCCGTCACGTGCCCGACGCGGCGGAACGACAGAGCCGCGGGTCCGAGCGCCTTGGCCGGCAGGGACCTGCCCCGGTAGCTGCCCGGGCACGGCCCGCCGTGAACGGAGCTGAGCTCAGAGCCCAGGATCGACACGTGCCTCGCCGGGCACCCGCCTGCGACCGGGCTGCCGGACACCGCTTGTGTTCCCCGGGAGGGTTCTGGGAAGTTCACACGCAGCTCCAGCCTAGTACGAGGCTGCAAATCCTTCGGGATGCTTCTGTGGCTTCCGTGTTGCCTCGGGGCTTTGCTGTGCAAACTGGAACGGGTGCAGACAAACCCCAACTCCCCCGGAGGTGTGCGTGGGCACCTCTGCTTTAACGGGACTCCCTGGGAGTGGAGCAATCAGCACTGCCCCATTCCTGCAGCCCCAGAAAAGTCAACTCTGAGCTTGTTCTTCCACTGAGCCCCACGAGCAGCTTCCCAGAGCACCCCTGAGCAGCAGGGTGTTGGCAACAGTAAGTGCTGGCTGGCACTTCATCTGGTGATCATCTTGCTCAGACACAAAACCATTTCTTGGCTATTAAACGAAACAGCCATTACCTGGCTCCGGGAGAGCTGAGCAATCTGCGCACAGGTTCTCCAGCACTGGCATATCCCCCATTCATTGTCAATGTCATCTTAGAGGCCCGGCCATGGGGCCCACAGTGCTGCTGCTCGATGTTCCTGAGCTCTCAGTGCAGCTCCTCTCCTGGCAAACCAGTTTCCCAGGCACTGCCAGCGGTGTTTGTGGTGAGAAACCATTAGGCAAGCTCTAAATAGAGGAAAAAAAAGGGAAGCTAAAAAGTGGGAAAGAAAAAGGTGGAGAGTAACTGCGGTGCTGCCAGCTGGTGGGCACCATGATGAAAGAGGAGGCAAACCACAGAAGTTCAAGCACATCTTTCCTTCCAGCTTGTTCCCAGAGACATGCAGGGCTGTGCTGGAAGTGTGCTTTCCTGCGAGAAGGGAGATGCCAGCTCTTCCCTGGAAGGCAGTGTGGCATTGGCGGTTTTCACCTACTCCTGTGGGGCAGAGAGTGCAGCCAAAGCCACAACAGGGAAACCCAGGGAAATCCTTTCTGCTGACTCAGGATGGAGGAAAAGGTTTTCCTGCTATTAAAAATGAAAGTGTTGGTGAACATCCCAGCACCCCTGGCTCAGGATCACAGTGTCAGGAGCCAGCACAATAATGCTGGTGCAGGATGGTGGAAGGGGCTGGGAGAGCTGCTGGGGCTGATGGTGTATGGTGAATTTATCCTCTCCCAACACCTAGCACCAATGCCAGCACCCAAGTATGGGCATGCCCAAGGCCAGGGAACTGCCTCAGTCACCTTGAAACCTTTCCAATCCCACAAAGGGTGCCCAACACAACCACATGTTAAGCCCAAAGATCTTTTTTTTTTTTTTTAATTAAACACATCTGTGGGTTTATTTTGGTGGTTTGGTGGCTCCTTCCCCCTGCAATTAGGGAGCATACACACCCCCCTTCCCCATTCCCACCAGCACTGTGAATCCTTTATCTCTTCCCAAAGCACAATCTCAGATGGCTTTTTGGTGGGTATTTAGTTTACAGGAGGCCATTCAGGGTCCTCAGTAGCTTTAGCCATGTGGGTATGACTGTGCTCCCCTTAAGCTCTTCGTATCTGTTTCCAAGATCAACAGCTTCAGTCACTTCACCCAGATCAACTTAACTTCAGCCTACAGCAACAGAAGCCCAAAGGGCCTCCCAGCAGTAAGAGAGCTTGGCCATCAGGTGCCCCCATTCTCACCAGTGAGTTCACCCGCAGTTCCCTTTGGACATCACCACGTATTTGCTCCGTGGTGGGGGCTTGCTGGAAGGGAGAGCTCCAGAACCTCTCACTCAGCCAGAGGTGCAGGTCTGGCCTATGGCTTGTGTTCTTATGCTGTTCCTTTGTATCGTGGCCGTTTCAAAGCATTGTGGGTGCTCTGCAAACAGACACACCTAGTGTTGCCAGCAAGGAAGGAATGAGTGAGGCTGCAAAGGTGGCAGTGGTGCCGCTGGGCACAGCCCCGGGAAGCCCCTGGAGCAGCATCATCCACTTTCAATCCCCATCGACTTTCAATCCCCATCCACCTCCAACCCCCAGTGCTATTCCGACTCCCAGAGCGTGGCAGCAGTGCCCAAGCTGAGCTCATGGCACCGCCAGCCCCAGGTCAGGAGGATCAAGTTGCTGGAACCTGCTTCCAGGGAATGTGAAGGTCACCTCGTACCCGGGCAACTGCAAAGGGATAAAAGGGGTCTCCCCTCACTACAGGAGAGACATTGAGGTGCTGGATCAGGGCCAGAGAAGTGCTACGGAGCTGGTGCAGGGCCTGGAGGCCAAGTGTGATGGGGAAGGGCTGAGTGACCTGGGGGGCTCAGTCTGGAGAAGAGAAGGCTCAGGGGGGACCTGATGGCTGCCTACAAGTGCCTGAGAGGAGGATGGAGCCAGGAGGGGCTGGGCTCTGCTCCCAAGGAACAAGGGATGGGACAGGAGGAAACGGCCTCAAGCTGCACCAGGGCAGGTTTAGATGGAGCTGAGGAACAATTCCTGCCCCAGAGGGTGCTCAGGCATTGGAACAGGCTGCCCAGGGCAGGGCTGCAGGCTCCGGCCCTGCAAGTGTTCACACACCGTGGAGACGAGGCCTCAGTGCCATGGGTTAGGGGTGGCCTTGGCACTGCTAGGCCTTGATTATCTTAAAAGGTCTTTTCCAACCTGATCGGTTCTATGATTCTATGCTCCTGCCTGTGCGGGTGGCAAGACTTGGTGCTGGATGTGCGGTGTTCAAGATGTCTGTGCTTGCCTTCGGGAAGGTGATGGGCAGCGGGTGGGCAAGGATGCGAGCACCCAGCCGCTGCAGAGCACGGGGCTGCAAGGGAAGAGCAAGATGGTTTCAAGAACACAAAGCAGCTGAAACTGGGAAACATTTGCCGAGAAAGGGGCTCACTTTGACTAATCACGAAAAAAAAATGCCATAAATTGTTGTTCCCAGAAGCAGAAACATTGCAAATAATCCAGTCCGAGCTGCAAAACTGAGGTCAGGCAGAAAGTGGTGATGAAGAAGGTGCATGTTTTACCTCTTGGGCATCACCAACAAAACAACTGGGTGCTACCAAACCACCCCCAGTGCCACAGGGCAGCCCCATCCCTGGGGCCCCACCTTCCCCAAGTGGGCAGCATGGGAGTTGAGGGCCCCAGCTCAGTGTCAGCCTTTGTCCTCCCACAGCACCCAGCGCCCACACAGACACTCCTGGCTCTGGGGCAGGCACTGGTCCCAGTGCTGCCACCACCCACAACAAAGCCTCTTTGTATGGAGCCCGCTGGGCACGTCCCCAGCCGCCACTTCCCCACCCCATGCTTCCACTGTCCCCTTGCATTGCCTCCCTCATGCAGGTCAGGAAGCAGGACCACATCAGGATGGGGCAGAGTCTCAGTGACAACCCCCCCATCCTCCTCCTGCCACCTCCATCTCCCTCATCTTCCCCATGGCCTCCCAGCAGGTCCCGTTCCCCCCAAACCTCCCACCCCACTGGAACCGACCTTCCCTTGGGGTGGGGTAGGAAGGGGGCAGCCCAGGCTTCCCCAAGAAGTCCCAGTCGTCACAGTAGATAACCCATCCCTTTTATTTGCTTTGAAGTCATCGCGGCCATTCAGCAAGTAAAACATGGTTGTGGGCATTCCCGTTCACAGGGTGAGCGATGTGGTTCAGCTGTTTCATCTTCCATGCTGATCCCAGTCCCAAAGTAACCCCTGGAAGCACAAACCTCCTTGTGGAGGGTCTTCTGAATCACAGCCTTCAGCTAGAAGATCCTCTCCGTTACCTTGTCCAAGCAACTAAGAAATCCCCTCTTGATCATACCCCACTCCCCCCCCCCAAAAAAAAGCCCCCAAGCAGTTAGAGCAGAAATTCCAACACAGTAATCGTGAGCCAGGCGAGAGCATGCGTGAAGGAGGTCAAGCCTTGCATCCTGCAGCTGGGGGCATGTCCTGAGGCTCCTTCACCAGGTGACATTTCTGTCCCTTCACTCCTGCCTTGCCTCCACACAGCCCTGGGGCAGTGACCAGGCTTCACAGAAAAGGCCAACACTGCCACAGCCCCCTGGGGGCCATGGCCCTGGGGCGAGCGGCAAAGCTGCTTCCCAGGGAACATCTGCACCCCCCGAGGCTCGCCCCACATTGGCTTCCTCGCTCCCTCCAGCACGGAGTGCGGCCCATGCCCAGCTTCCCACAGGGAACAGCACCAAGAGCGTGGGGGTGCCAGGGTTCAGTGACATGGTCCCTCCCGTCCACCCCCCTCCCGGAACAACCTCCTCCGCTGTCAGCAGCTCTCTGCAGAGGTGGGCAAGGAGCCCCCCACTCTGCGGGATCCAACCCCTGCCCCCTGCCTGCCCTCAAGGGCTCTCGGCTGGGCTGGGGCCCGCGCCACTGCCCGGGCCGGGCTTGGCGAGCTGCCGCAGGTCCCGCACGGACCTCACTGCCCACTGGGCCAGCTCCCGCAGCACGCCCAGGCCCCGCAGCTTCCTCTCGAAGAGGCTGAGCTGGGGGAGCACGGGCAGCACAGCCGCCTCCTCGGCGGGGGGGCCGCGGTTCTCCAGCCGCAGCAGCTCCTCGAGGTGGTAGGTGAAGGCCGAGACCTGGAGCAGGACGGCCGCCAGTGCCCGGCCCAGCGTGGCATCGGCCTCCCCCAGCTGCTCCTGCTGCTCCTCCAGCATCTGCGCCAGGAGGGCCCGGAACACCCGGTACGCCGCCAGGTTCTCCAGCAGCCGCTGGGTCCCCGTCTGCTCATCCCAGCGCTCCACCGCTGCCACCGGCACCCCCTCCACCGCCGCCACGCTGGCCGATGCATCCAGGCCCTGCTGCTCCACCTGCAGGGACGACAGCAGCCAGGAATCGCCAGCGGCAGGAGAAACAGGGGACCCCCATTCTGCCTGAACCCCAGCTCCAGGGTGCCCCGGTTCAGCTTCAGGGCTGGCCAGGGGACATTCAGGCAGTGCAAGGGCAGGAGCTGGTGCTTAAGGTTTGCCCACGCACCGCCCAGCAGCGCCAAGGCCCCGTTACCAGCTGCACTTCATCCCTCGTCCCTACCATGGACCAGCTGCTGAAAGCCCTCTGGACTCTGGTGGCAGCGGCCACCGCGCAGGGCCATAGCAACAGCGCAAACTCACATAGGTGTCCAGGAGGTCAACGACGTCCGAGCGCATCTTCCCGGCCAGGCGGATGCCTCGGCTGCACAGGTCGCGGCGCCGGAGCGTGGCTGAGGCGCTGTCTGCTGCAGCCATGGCGCGGGCAGCCGGGGCACCCAGCTCAGGGCACGGCGCCTGCCCGGCCCGGGGAGGACAATCCCCTGCTGAGCTGGTGCATTCCAGCCGGGAGCTCCACTCACACGTCTGCTGGCCTGGCTCTCCCCCTCTTCTGCGCCTGGGGCCTGGCACGACGGTGCAAATTCCCGCCTCTGGGATCAACGGCAACAGATTATTTCCCTAATTCCCCCATGCGTCGCCACTCCAAGCGCCTTGCCCAGAACAGGCTTGCCTGGCAGCAGCAGGCTCCCAACCCCAGCTCCGACCCATCCCTCCCTACCAGCCGCACAGTGCCATGAGCAGCACGCTAATCCCCACGGCTCATGGCAGAGCCAGAGCATGGGAAAACACTGCTGGGAAGAGGGGAGCAGAGCCCGGACACTGCTCAGCACCTCGGCCTGGGCGGCAGGGCTGGGGCCTGAGCAGGGCAGAGCACTGTGGGCTCACCAGCAAGGGGGTGAGGGGAACCCCCAGGCTGGAGCTCCAGCACCAGCTGCAGTCTGCGCTGCAACCCAGACCCCAGCAGAAGGCTGCAGAGGCCTGTCCCGGCCACATCCAGCCCTCTTATTCACCCTATGGCTGTGTGCGACTGGGTCACCCAGGTCTAAACCCCCTTTCCCAGAGGGGTCCTGCAGACAGAGGAGGAGACGGTCCCAGACACCCTCCGCAGGTGAGCTGCATGCACCAAGACAAAAACAGCCCTGCTGGTTGGTTTGGTTTTTCCTCAGTACATTTATTTTGGTTACGCATTACCTAGATTAAGAGAAACAAGAGGAGCTGCAGAGCGATGTCCCTGCGGCACCGGAGCACAGCGAGCCCCCTGCCGAGCACCGGGGCCGGTGGCCAAACCCAGCAGCGTCGTTGCCACCTGGTGGCTACTGCAGAGAGCGCTGCGGGACTCCAACCTCAACCCCGCACCCCAGGGCCCCCGAGGGCACCCCTGCCCGCAGCAGAGCGCGGGCGCAGTGCCCTGGGCTCCCTCCACTCCCTCCCCGGGAGGAGAGAAAAAATAAATACGGGGGGAGGGGGGGAATACAAAAAAAGTTTATTGCAAACTACTACAATAATTTATTGAAGCGAACTGCATGCGAGTGACGGAGACACCGAGGGGAGGAGGAGCTGCAGGGGGCTCTGTCAGTTTTAGGGTTTCAAATGGGAGTGGGAGAGGAGCTGCACCACCTTTCCTGCGCCAGGGACAGCAGGCTCTGGTTAGAGGCTGAGACCAGGAAAAGAAAAAGGATTGCTACAAGAGGTGTGCGTGAAGGGTAGGGCAGGGAGTGGCAGGGAGCAGATGTGTCCGGGCTGGGAAGCAAAGGGGCTGCTCCATTCCGCACCCCATGGCAAGCTCTTGGCCCTGCTTGGGGAAGTCGCAGAAGGAGGCAGCCCCTGTTGCCTCCCAGCCTGGTGCCACATGTCGGTAACCAGAGGGGAGCAAGATCTTGACCCGACAGCAGTTTAGTGCCAGCAACCCACGAGTCTCATTGTAGTGCCCTTAGCAAGGCTGTGCCATGGGCATGGGGCAGGGCACAGGACCAGGCACCGCGGCGAGGAGCCAGCAGACACGCCCGTGCACAACACGGCTCGGCAAGCCCCACACTAACCCGACATGAGACCCACACTGCTAGTTTGGGTTTGAACACATCGCATCTTGCTGCTTCTCTGTAGTCTGCAAAGGGGAGGGCACTGGCTGGGCACCCAAAAGCTTCCTTCTGGAAATCACGGTAACATGATCCAAGCAAGAAACTGGATCATCCCAACTGAAGAAACTGGCTTAATTTAACACTATATGGCAGCAGACCTGATGTGCACTGTCCTGGGAGATGGGCATTCAGCACACTGGGCCGTCATCCTTATCTCCAGGAGAGGCTTGAACCTCTGCCACAGTGCAAGAACAGGGGATGCCCACACCCAGGGCACAGACACTGTGCAAGCTGCTCAGCCACAAACACCAGAAGTGTTTGAACTTGCTCTGCCAAAGATACTAGTGTAAGGGGGAAAGGGAGGGGGCAAATCAGGACAAACGGCCCAGTAGAAGCTGTCAGGCTTGGGCCACAGCTGGATTTCGAGGCAGCACAGGGGACAGTGTGGGTGTTCAGAGTCAGTTTCCTGTAAGTAGTTCCCAATTAAATTCCATTGTTTTACTGCTGTTCTCCAGTCCCCAGGCACCCACTTTTGCCTAGCTGCTGTGTGCTACAAGCCAATACAGCTGATTATGTGCTCATAATACTGCAAGATACTTCGGCTCTGCTCCCAACTGCATAAATCCAACCAAAAAACCAACCAACCAAAAAGCCCAGGTTTTCCTTCACCTCTTCCAAAAGCACTAAGAATTCAAGGCCACTGAATCACCACACAAAGTGTCAGATAAGGGCAAAAAGATCCAAGTCTCCATAGCAGACACATGGTATCCTACGCAAACTTTTCCAAAGGCTTAGTGCTATCCTAACTGTATGGCAACACACGAACCGCTGTGTTTCATGGAAAGCAGAGCCGTTTGGGTGGGAAAGAGCAGCTCTGGGAACACACTGCACAACACCCTCCCCGCAAAACAGGGTCAGGGAGAGAAGCTGACAGCCCCCAAGCCCCGCGTCAGTCTATTGCCATGGACAAACCACCCTCTCCAGCCCCTCCTTCTGTGTCTTTGCCTAGACCTGGAAAGGAGAGGCAGAGTTGGATGAGGAGCACAACATCCCTCAGCAGCAAGCAGCTCACAACTGTCCTAAGTCTCAAGAACAAGTTCCTGGCTAATGACATTTTTCCCTGACAAGCTAGGGACCAAGGGAGGGCAAAGAGAGCATTTAATGCAAGGAGCTCCCCCCGACCTGGGAGGGAGGGAGGAAGGGAGGCAAGAGCCAGCTGTTCCATCACTCACCTCATCCTCCTGCTAAAACACTGCTGCAGAGGCTCCCACTGCAAATAGGCTCTTCTCCAAGGGCTCTCCCTCTACTCTGGAAAAGCTGTGAGACACATCTGACTCCAGAGGCTGCCTTCACCTCGGCTCTCCCAGCTGCTGTTCCAATGGCACGACGTGCTCCCCGCAGCTCAGTGGTGCGAAGCAGCCTGGGAAACAGCCTGAACCCCTTCCACCCCCACCCCCTACAAACATAACTAAAGAATACCGACCCTTTTTTAATCAATAAATAACGAATCTTGTTACCACAACACAAAAACGAAGCATGTTCAAAGTGCAAATTACTGTCGTCAAACTGGGATGCTCCTCCTCGCCTCTCCCACGCAGGGCTCCCGTAGCCCCCGGGCCTCTCCAAGCAAACATGATCTATGAGCCAGGGCGTTCCCTCCATTTCCTGCCAGAGCTGGAGCAGAGAAGCGCAGTGGGGAGAGGGATGTGCCTGTTCCGGAGCTCACCCTGCTACGTGAGGGGCCTAAAGTGCCAAACCAAACTCCCAGCCCCAGGAGGAAGAAAGAGACTGCAAGGACCAGAGTGCAGCGATGCATAGAAGTTGGGACCAGGGGCAAGAGGGAGTCTTAAGAAACCTGTACAGAGCACATCAGATGCTTTCTAATTTGCAAATGGGGCCACATCAAGGAGCCAGAAAGGCATCTACTTTGGGCTAGAGGAAGGGCTTCAGCAGTTTCTCCCCCCGCCTCCCTTGGAGAAATATGTCACTCAATCCAACTTGCTCTGGTAATGGCAGCATGTGCCCCTTTCTGCAAAGGGGTAGTGGGAGAGAGAAGTGGTTGGGAGAAAGAGGATGTGCTGTGATCCAAGCTGGAGGGGAGCAGACCCTTCAGTTCTTTACTAGAATTGTGAGATTTGTTTAAATTTCCTCTGTTTCTGTGTCTTTTTTTTTTTCTTTCTTTCTCTTTTCTCCTCCTTTTAAATACAGAATCCAAACTGTCCCAGCACCCGCCTGCTCCCGCCCACTAGGGTCCAGTGGAGTCTGAATCTTCGATGAGCACCTCAGCGGTGGCTCCCAGGATCTCGGTGTTCATGACCAGCCCCTCGGGGTTTGCACTGCTGCCGCTGCCCACAAAGAGCTTCCCGTCAGCCACCAGGCTCACGCGCTCAGCCGCACCGCAGAACGTCTTGGGCATCCCGTCGGGATTGAGCAGCAGGCAATCCGCAGGGGCAGCGCTTCCCAGGGGGTCGGGAAGCAGGGGCAGGCCCTGGCCATCGGTGGGTGGCGCAATGGCCTCAGGATTAGTGCCCAGGATGTCAGTGCTGGTGATGAGGGCACCCGCGTTGGCAGCCAGTGCTTCAGCAATAAGCACTTCAGGGTGGCTCTTGGCTTTGTGGGCCACGACGCTGTCCTTCTTCTCAAATTTCTTGCCACAAATGTTGCAGGAGAACTGGTAGAAGGAGTCCGCATCGTGCTTCTTCATGTGCCAGTTGAGGGAAGCCTTCTGCCGGCACGTGAATCCACAGATCTCACACCTGGGAGGGGAGAAGGGGAGGTCATAACAAAGGGATGTGCCCACACACTTGTGGGAACAGGAGAGCAGGGAGGCAGCTCAGGAAAACAGCCAGGGCTCACTAAAATAGGATGTCACGGTAGCTCCAGCTCTTCCAGTTTTAATTTGTAGAGGGTTTATATTCCTCAGATCTCTCCTGAGACACTAACTCAAGGAGTATGTAAGAGAAGGGGCAGCTCAAACACTCCTTTAGGTGTGTGTTTAAGGAGAGCTTGGACACCAGGAACAAGTTCCAGCCCTGACTTCAGAGCCAACCTTTCTCTCAGTGGAGTCCATGAACGGGTGCATCCAAGGGTCCCTCAAAGTAGGGGAGCAAGAGACAGGCAGAAGTACTCACTGCAAAGGCTTCTCGCCCGTATGGATCATTCGGTGCACCGCCAAGTTATGAGAACTCTTAAACGCCCGGGCACAGTACTCACAGATGTAATCCCTTTGATCTAGAAAGCAATACCAGTTGGAGCATTACTTTCCTGCAGACCTGCTCCCCTTTGAGCTCTCACATGTTGCAGGTGAAGCTGCTGAAGCAGCAGCAGAACCAGAAGTGCTGGGAAGCCAGCAGGCATAGCAGAGCAGGAGTCCCACAATATACCACAGCAGCTCATCTCGATAGTTGACACATGATTAAGACTCTCCTAAAAGCCAATCATCCATCTTGACCGATACTGCAGGACTGGCAAGTTAGGATAAAGCTTGGAGTTCTAGAGAACTCCCAAGTGATACTTGCCAGGGGGTGATTAAAAACTCTTAAGAATACAAAACAAACAGGCTATAAAGATCATAATGCAGAAGGAAATAATACCCTGCTGCCGATGCACATCTATGCCATCTGCCTTGGCTTCACACTCCCCAGAAATCCTCTAGCCTCTGGGCTTTTCCATTTCCTCCCCTCTTTGTTCACTGTCCCAAGGAGCAGTTTGTATCCATTTCCCACCTCCCTGTACCTGTGTGGTGTTTGGCATGCCGCAGCAGCTGCTTCTGGAGTCGGAAGAGCCGACCACAGGAGGGATGAGGACACACATATTTTTTCTTCAGCAAGTGCTGGTACTTTATGTGATGCTATAAAGAAAGAGTGGAAGGTTGTACACTCTCTCTACATGGCTGAGAGGACAGCTGGAACCCCTCAGCAGGCTACCAGACTCCAGTCAATGACAAGACACCCTTATACCATGAACACAGAGGCTTTGATCTCCATTGAGAGAAGAAAGCCAAACTAATGTGGACATCTAGCAACAGGACAGAGAGAGACACATGTGGCCACAACTGAGTAAGTCTACCAAAAAGACAGCATCAGAAACGAGCGCTTCAGTGCTGGGTAAGAATTAGCTGCCAGTTTCCAGCGGCCCATCCCTGCCCTCACACCATTTGGGAGCTGAGGAATGTCAACAAACCTGCAGATACCGTGGGTGAGCCAGGACGGTGCCGCAGCCTTCCATCTCACAGCGCACATACTGTATCGGGGGCTTCTTCCTAAGGCGGCAGTGAGGAAATGGGCCCCGGTTAACTCTGGGGTCTGAAGCCAGGGCAGCAGCAAGAGAAACAAGCACAAGTGCAGCTCCATGACATGAAAGCAAGGGATTACTGCTCCAATATTCCTGTTTGGGCTGTGCTGTTACAGACTCTGTCCAAGAGTTCCTTCCCCTCCTTGAGGACTCTCCCCAGAGCTGAGAAAACGCCAGGAGACACAGAATTCCCAAACCTTTCACTGGGCAATGCCCAGCAAGGGATGAACTCAGAAGTGGGGTCAGGAGAAGGTGGGAGGTGCCGGTTCAGTTGGAAGAAATCAAAACCCCACAACTACAGGGAGAAGGGGTAATTGAAGAAGGGAAGACAAAGCACACTGCTTCTCCACCTTCAAAGCAGACTTCTATACTGTGCAGGAGAGATGGCTTTGAGACAATCAACATCTCTATGCAGGACACAAGAGATGCAAGTCTTCAGAACAGAACTGAGAGAGGATCACTCACCTTCTCTTGGGAAGCCTTGGGCTCTTGTCATCCTTTCTCCTCCTTCCTCTCCTGCAACAGGGTTACAGAAACAGAACTGAAAGACTCTACACTGGTGGCAGGCAGAGTTTTTGAAGTGCACGCTACAAAGCAGGAGCATGCTGCAGGAAATACTACAGAACTCTTCCAGGCTGAAAAGTAACACTGCATCTGGCAAGTCAGCACCTGCACCAGCTCCCAACACTCCAGAGCTGCTAACAAAACACTCCTACAATAGTTGGGCAGGTTCCCTAAAGAAGTGGGGTAACCAGGCCTCCATGCAAACCTTCCCTGCACCTCGCAGAACTGCCACACCACACAGAGCACCCTCCTATGGGGCTGCAGTCCCCATGTGTCTGATACCTGGATTTTGACCTCAAATCCCACTGCCTATGCCAACAGTGAGGCTGCAGCTACATGGTCTGGCATACTATGCTGCTGAATGTGGTTGGCTTGGCTCAGATGTGTCTCAGCTGACCACTGATACCTGTCCACTGGAATCCGCGTGGCTGTGGGACAGCCACAACCCAAGAGGCTGTGGTCAGAAGCCACCAACCCTTGTGCCACCACGGAGAGAGGAAGGGCTATTGTAAAAAAGCCTCTATCGGGCATCACACACTTCACATTTTCTCTTTTAAACCTCAACTGTGTGAACAACTTGCACCCTTGTCATTAAATTTCCTCTCTAGGCTGTGCATCAGCACACAAGATTCTGCTCTGCTCAGTTTCTGCTGTAAACAGGTAGCAAGCTGTTGCCTCATGAGCTGTGAGCTCCTGCAAGATCCATCAAGTGCAATTTGGAGGCAGATTCAGATGAAGACAGCCTTCTTGAGAAAGAGATGCTTCATGTGCTTTGCTCTCACAACCCTTTATCACTTCCTAATGCAGTTTTTATAAACATGTAATTTTACCAGCACAGTCCAAAATTAATGGTGCTCTTCATTTTCTCTGTTCTGTTGGGTTTCATACCACATGAAAAACATCAATCTGCATGACTGGGAAAAATGGGGTGAATGATCTAGCAGCTCTTTCATAGTGCTCTGAATTAACTATAGAATTTTACAGTGCTCTGAATTAACCATAGAAGCTTATACATCTATCAAGACAAAAAAAAATCCATCTCATCTGAGCAGACCTATGTAAGATGCATCCTGCTCAGAACATCACACCTGCTGGATCATATTGCTGCACAGACACTAACAGTGGGTTGATAGAAGTCTTTCCTACCTTGTACTCAGACATCTTTATTAATAGCAAGACCATGCCAGTAACATGCTGAACTGACACTCAGCATTCAAGTCAAGCCTTCAGAAGAGGCACAGGTTTTATTATGCACAAAAGTAGCATCTGAGCCAAACACCATGAGCATGAGGCTCAGAAAGCCATTTCTAACAGGAAAATAAAAACCAAACCAAACCAGTTCTCAAAATGCCATCAGCACCTGACCCCTCCCCAGTGGGATCAGCTCTGCAGCAGCAGAGGCCACAACACATACCAGCAGAGGGAGCCCCATTTGTTCCAACTGCTCGCACAAGAGCTACAAGTACAAAACCTGCTTACCCCCATACCAAGGAGTGGCTTTGACACACAAATCCAATCTACCTCAGTTGCCAGATGAAAGTTCCAGAGACAGCATTCCTAAAGGTTTCAAGTCTCCACTCAAAGTACTACTGACCGACCAGGCAGCAAAAGTTTGTTCTCCAAAGCCAGGGGAACACCGCTGCTCCTTCTGAACCCTGGCACGATGGTCCCAAACGTACAAAGAGGATGTTTACAGAATATTCCCGTGTCTCCCTCTAGGCCCAGAACAGAGGAGACGCTGTCTTCTCCAACTGGCTTTCTAATATAGTCTAATCCACCTCATCACAGCAGAAACCAATTTTAAGAATGATCTGAAGTATTTCATACTGTGTGGCCATATTCAGGAAGGTGACAAAAACCACAGTATGGAGAAAACCCTCATCTTAAACTATATGGAAATATCAACTCTATTTTTCCTTGTTGAACATGCCAAGATACAAGGAAGCAGGACTTCTATCAGAACAACAGATTCTGCCCCGGCCAGGAGGGAGGAAAACCACCACAACACTGTCGTACACTAGCAAGAGTACAAAATATACACAACATACTGCTACATGTAACTGCAGAGTTTTACTCACTTCCTTGGTGGTTCTTCATCTTCCCGAAACTCACTTTCTTCTTTTACTTCTACTTTAATTTCTTTCTGTTTCTCTTTTTCCTCCTTCCCTTTGCTAGCTTTTCTCCTTTGCTTTGGTGTTTCCCTACAAAGATACAAATACAATGCATTACTCCAATACTCCTCCCATTGTCTGTTTTGCACAAAGATTAAAGCAAAAAGTGGATAAAAGTTCAGGTCTATTTATCAAGTCCCACTTCTGAGGAGAAATAAGGAAGAACCTGGCAGATAGAATGGCTCTGAAGACTGCAGTCCACTGGAGAAGAACAGACCCGTACCTGTAGACAGTATCTAGAAAACACTGTGCCCAGTGGGAGCCATTCCACCTTAGCAGCTCCTCAGGTTCTTTGGGGAGTACTGAGCTCATTCAACTAAAATGTACTTTTTCTTTGTCTAAACCCACAGTAAGCATGTAATCAAATAATTTACTTCTCTAGATGGGGCTTGTAGGTTTCATCTCTCGGATCATCTTTGAAGGGAACTTCTTCCTCACTGATGAGCATCTCCTCCTCGTCATCACTGCTGGCAAAAAAAAGAGAAGGACTTTAGCAGCAACAGCTTAAGCACTACTGCAATAATATTCATGCACCATCCCTCGGGATGGGAAAGACTCTATTACACAGCACTTTCTCATCCAGCATGACTGGGGAAAGCCAACAGACTGCACTGACTAAGAACATGACAGCCAAAACAGACAAAGCTAGGCAGAGCAGCCTCCTCTTCTGAACCCACCTAACTAGAGCTTCTGCTCCTGAGGGAATAAAGCTACCAGGTGAAGTGCTCAGATTAAATCTTAAAATCCATTTCTCCACAGTATCTCCTGACATCTGCAGTCCATCTGCAACCCAGACTGAAAATGCAAAGGTCCAGGACTGAATGAAAAGAGAGCTACTCTCCATCCACAGATCCTCTCACAGAAGCATTTATTCTGAAAAAAACTCAGGCCCTTATTTTAACTTCTTGAGACAATAAAGAGGAAGAAATGTCACAAAATAAGAATTTCCTACCTGATTCCAGCTGGAGACTGATGCTCTTCTGTGACCTCTGAAAGGAAAAGTCACCATTAGGTTTCAATCTGTGTTCGCTGCAGTGAGCTCATCTGTCTCAAGATACCTCCGTCGACATTCAGTGCCAGGAGTGCTGGTGGCAGAAGGTACTCATGACCAAGCAGCACCACACCTGTACCAGCCACAGTCTGCATACAGCTCACAACGTTACACCCACACTCAGCTCCCTTCAAAGCTTCCCAAGACCTGACTCTCTCCAGGCACTCTCATGCCACGGCTCCTCACGTACCGTACTCGAGCTGGTCTGTGTTTGGCTCCGACTTGCAAATGAGCTGCAGGGAGCCCGTCTTGGATCTGGAGGCACGCGAGTTCTCGGTGTCCCGCTGGCGGGCCACGGTGGCTGCCCTGCTGCTGCGCCAGCTCCTGCTGGGCCTGGCTGTGCTGACAGGGGAGCCATGGCGGAGGACACTGGAGACCTCCTCCTCCTCCTTCTCTTCTTTGGGATCTGAAACACCATTGCAATCTCTTTAAGAATAATGAAAACATCAAGCCCATCATAAATTCACACTCTGGGGCACCATCGTGAACAGTGTAACTGCCTCCATGTACTCTGATGGGGAAACCACTCACTAGCTCTCTCAGATGTGGAGCACAGCTCTACTAAGCCAGATACGATACATCCTGGGGCCTTGCCTCAGCCAGGCTGCACTTGAAAATCTGATCACATTTCCCACTGCCTCTGAGTAAAGACACAAATGTTTAAAAGCAGCTTACATTTCCTTCTGATAAAGGCTTATAAGATGATTATTTGCTGGCTCCCATCTCCCCTAAGCACTACAAGATAGACACTCATAAACCTCAGCAACTACTTTTTGAAAGACTAGCTTCAGAACTGGAACACATTAAAAGTCATGTTTGGAGAATCCCCCAAACACATTTAATCAGCATTGTATACCTGGTAATATAGGCATATAGGTATTGTACAGGCATATAGAGCCTTTGGAAAACTCCGTAAGAGTCTGGTGCAATAAACACCTGAAGAAAAGTACAAAAATTAGTGTCTATAGAGCCATTGTACTGTCTGCTCTTTTATATGGGTCTGAATCATGGGTTATTTACTGCCATCACCTGCAACTCCTCAAACGCTTTCATCAGCTCTGCCTCCGTACAATTCTAAACATCCCCTGGATGTTTGACTGTGTGTCAAATGTTAGTCCTACAGCAGGCAGGGGTCACCAGTATCGAGGCCTTATTGCTGAAATTGCAGCTGTGCTGGGCAGGGCACGGCTCCAGGATGGAGGATCACCGCCTCCCTAAGATCGTGTTTGATGGTGAACTCGCCACCGGCTGCCGCAAGAGAAGTGCCCCAAAGAGGAGATACAAGGACTACCTGAAACAATACCTCAGCCTTGGCCATACTGACTACCGTCAGTGGTCCACCTCGGCCTCCAATCGGGAGACTTGGAGGCACACCATACATAACACTGTTGTCTCCTTTGAGAACACAAGCAGAATTAGTCTCAAGGAGAAAAGACAACGTAGAAAGAATCATGCCTCACCTACACCACCCAAGGAGACCTTTCGTTGTGCTTTTTGCAATCGGATTTGCCTATCCCACACTGGCCTTTTTAGTCATCAGCACACTTGTAGTAAGGGTGGGTAAAGCCCTTCCCAAATCTTCGTTCACGAAGTCAAGCTATCACCTGGTACTAACCCTGAGGAATCCAAGCTGGAGGTCTCTGATCTTACACCAGAGCAAAAGGCATCACCAGTGCTGTTAGCCTAAGGTCTCTGCACTCATTTATAGCTTCTACAGGTGGTTTCTTTTCAGCTGATGGCTGATCTCCAGATACGTTCTGGCATAACAGAACTGGCTGAAATGCCTATGTGAGCAAGTTCATCCCTTAAAAATACCCAAGTACAGTTCACCTGCTCTTGCGTTCTGGTGCTCGCTGTGACACTGGGCCCCAGTGAATTCAAATGCCTTGGGACATTTCAAACCTGATGAGCTGAAGAAATTAATGCCAAGTAGATGGCTGTGCTCAGCGACCACATCTGCCACTGGTCTGGCAGACACAGGCACCTGCAGTGCTCCGCAGGGCCTGGGCTCTAGGTTGAGCTCTGACCTGCTCTTTTTTACCCAAATGCATTTATGTTGCTGCCCCATTCAGAAAGGTTTCTGCTGCCTCAGCACCAGCCAGCAGTACCCTGAGATGCCGCAGAGTTTATCAAGCATCTGCTGGCAAACCCCATGGGCAGTCCCCTAAGGACTGGCTGGGGAGCAGCCCTGCCATGCTGGAGTCCCAGTGAAGAGCAAACTGCACATCGAGAGGAAACCCACAGCATCCTGAGTCCCACTAACAGGTGCACAGTCAGGAGCAGAGGAACACTGATAATCCCCCTTACTTAGCACTCATTAGAATCACAGAACAGTTAGAACTGGAAAGGACCTTAAGATCACCTAATTCCAATCCCCATGCCATGGGCAGGGATGCTTCACTTTAGACTATGTCACCCAAGGCTCTGTCCAACCTGGCCTTGAACACTGCCAGGGATGGGGCATTTACCACCTCTCCAGGCTACCTGGTTTCACCACTCTCATTATAAAAAATTTCTTCTTTGTATCTAGTTTGAGTCTCCCCTCAGGCAGGTTAAAGCCATTCCCCTTGGCCCGTCCCCTACAGGCCCTTGTCCCAAGCCCCTCTCCAGGTTTCCTGCAGCCCCTTTAGGCACTGGAGCTGCTCTCAGGTCTCCCCTTCATGCAGCAAAGAGGCAGGATCCCCTCCCTGAGCTGCTGCTCACACTCTGGGGGTGCAGCCCAGCACACAGGAGGGGTCTGGGCTCAAGTACTCACTGAAGCCAGGGCATGGGGAGCTGCTCCTCACCCAACATCCCCAAGTCCTTCTCCTCAGGGCTGCTCCCAACCCATTCACCCTCCCAGCCTGTGTTGATACCAGGGATTGCCCCAACCCAGGGGGCATGACCTTGCACTTGGCCTTGTTGAACCTCATGAGGTTTGCATGGGCCCATGTCTTGAGCATATCCAGACCTGATTGGAGAAGGACATGAGCAGCAAGATGTGAACCCTATGCTGAACCCACATTAAACAGCAATTGGGATCAGCGATATCCTGAGGTCCCTCCCAACCTGAAATCACTGATTTTGCATCAAATTGCATCAAGCCTTTCAAAACAAATGATCCTTTTACTTCTACCATGGACCTTTGTGTGACTCACTCCCAGTCCCTGATTAACAGGGTGGGAATAATCAGCATTTGACTGAAAAAAATCTGACTGGAACACAGGATGTGAGGCATCAGAGTTTTGCTGTAAAACAGCAACCAAGACTCAGGTCTTGCATGTATAAAAGCCACTTCATCATCAGAGCTTGAAGTACACCGCCTTTTTGGAATTCTGTTTTAGCAGACCTCATGGTGAACTACAACTGCTTTATGTCTTTAATCCTAATTGTGGACATCCTCAGGCTCTTTCAAATGTTAAATCAAATCCAAAACCACTTAGAACCACACTCTGGCAATTCCCCCCTCCAACATTACCATGCTGCCAGTGTTAGCACACACTGCTGCTCTTGAAAGAGGTTTATTCCCTTGGAAGATCAGGCATTCAGCTAATTTCTTAGCAAAAGCTGGTATTTTAAAGATTAGCCTTATGGATTTGAAACAGACCTCCCTCAGGATACTTTTCTACAGAGTACCCCACTCACCTTCCAATCTTGCTTTCTTTTCTCTGAAGTGAAAGTGCTTAATAAGCCTTTCCCCATGATTTTTCCTTTTCACTTCAGCATGCTTGTCTAACATAATCACTGCACTTTTACATGCTGCGAATGCCTATGTACCTCCAAAAAATCAAATAGCTTACTTTGTAGAACTCCTAAAACAGTGTAGAGCTATTGATTGAAAATCCTTACAATTCTAGGGCCTCCTAAGAGGGGACACAGGTCCCTCGTGCAAAGGCCAGAGCTGCACCAGGAAACTTGTACCTGCAAAGTTTTCAGCTACACAAGCAACGGGAATCAGCCCTCACCAAGGTTCTGCCTCAAATCAAACATTGTGAAAGA